ATTAATAAATTCATATACAAATTAGTTACACATACTTAGTTACAATTTTGTTATTTTTATTGTAGTTACCTGTTATATTTAATGAATCTAAACATTTATCAAGAAACCTTATGGCTAATAAATATTTTTTAAATTATTAATATATGGGAAAAGAAAGTTTGCAACCATAACAACGTAGATCTAAGATTGCAAAATCTAATTAGGGTATGTTTTAATTCTGTTTCCAAAAAAAAAATTAATTTTCAGAATAAAAAAAAACCTGTTTTGAAAAATTAATTCTAAAAATTATATCTACTTTTTTAGTTTTTAGAATCAAATTTAAAAAATATATTTTAGTTGTTTCTATTTTGTGTTTTGACTCTTAAATTTCAAAAAAAGAAAGAAAAGGAAACACTCATTTTATTGACTACTCTACAATATAATTTCAAAAAAAAAAAAAAAAGCAGAATAGAATCAAACAGGTCGTAAGTTTCATCGGGAGCAAGCAAGAATAAGTGAATAAGAGAAATGAATTAAATCAAAAGCATATAAAGAGACAAAAGAATAAATCAAAACCAAACTTCTTTCAATTTTCAAGAATTTGGATAGTTCATTACTCATGGATGCACAATACAAGATTGAAATTAAGCAACTCTCGATCGATATATATTTTTTCCATTACGATTTCAAAATCAAAGCCAATCATTGGAATTGAGTATTTTTAAAGACAGTGTAAAAAGCTGATGAAATTTATTGTTTAATAATGAGTTGCAAAAACAAATGCATGCATAATAAAATAGTAATATATACGGAACAATTATTAATCAAAGTATCATATCTCGCATCAATATACTTAGCCATTAAGGTTCTGAGGAAGGAATTAAGGACACGGGAGTGACGCGACTTAGAGAAAACCATAGGGAAGCTTATGGAATACAAAAGTTGAGAAATGGGAGTGCAAGGAAGATTCTGGTTTCTATCATGGGTCAGGGTCATTTAAAGAGGCCTCCATTCACCCACTCTGCAAGAAAGAAAGAAAAAAATAAAGGCTAAAGGGTGTTGGGGAATTGGAGGATGTGATTTTTCATTTGTCGGAATAATAGTGGGGTATCTTCTATCTTCTCTATGGTAGTATAGTGGCACACCCAAAGCTCTACCATGGGTTACGATCCTTAAGGAAATGTCTTATTTTGAGAAATATAAAACTTAGAGGTGCACTTCGGTCTTTTTCTTCTTAAGAAAAAGGAGTTTTGTATTTTTTTTTTTCAAAATTATATTTTTATAGTAAATAGTATAAAAACTATTTATTGCTGTTATTTAATCTAAAATTTTATTAATTAATGTGTTACTTTAAAAAAAAAAATATATGGTGTTCTAAAATGGAGCCCAAAAGATTAATGATTTAATTTAGGGAACGGTGTAGTTTTGACATTTCCTGCATGGGATTCCTTCGCATTTTTATGTACGTAATCATTTTTCTTTGGAACTCAAGACTAGTTGACGTGAGACGTTATGACACAGCTTTGTGGTTAAAGGTAAAAGTCATGAAGATTTGTGGAACGGGCACCGGTTCTGCTACTTCAATTGGTGACGTTATCAACTCGAATGGTTCACTTCATAAAGAAGTTTTTGTCGTACGAATCACAAATAGATCATTGGATTGGAGATAAGACAGCCCTGCCTGCATATGTAACGATTTTGTTTTCTCTCTTTTGCTTTTCTATTATCTCTACTATTAGTATTAATTAATGATTAATGTAAATATTTGTTTTCGTCATTTCATAAAAATGAAATATGCTAATTTTCGCGATAAGACATCCTTGTAAAATGTTTATGAAACTAATGTAATTTGCTGATAAAATATAATGAGTGGGTGTAATTATTTTCGAAATTACTCTTTTCTTAATTTGATCACGATGGATTTGCTGTTTGGTGTAGCTTTTTTCATGATATATAATAGTATTTATAAAAATACAAACCATATTGCATTAGTTTTTCATTTAGAAATATTATCAAATTAGTCATTTTAATAACACTTAATGTAATTAATTTTTTTTAGAAACTAATGTGATAGTACAAATGTGACAAAAAGAAATTAATTTGATGTCATGTTGATCCGTCCAATAGAAATTGGGCTAGATCACACATAATTGAATTTAATCCAATAGAAATATGATAGTGAGGAGAGATATTTCTAATACTTCAGCGAGATCTTTCGTGAAGAGTCTAGTATCGAGTTGTTTTGTTTAGTTAAGACAAATATGAGGAGTACCTGCAAGGCACTTCAATACTCAAGTTAGTATATGAACAATGAGCTTTTGTCAAGATGAATTAAATATTCATACATAGGCTTCAAGCATCTATTATATAGTTATTGATTGTCCTGTTTATACTGCCTTAATATAGCGACATTTATCCTCAACGATGGGCAAAAATGTTGCTTGTTGGCTATCCTGTGTGTGAAATGTCTATTTGTGGGTTATATCTTTTAGGTGTGGCTGAAACCAGTGTCTTTCCCCTAACTATAGGCTATTAGGATAGCTATAGAGTTATGAACTGTTGATACTACAATAGTATGCGTGCAGTATGACATCAACACTGGATGAACACGTTTCCTTAGCCTTTAAAACTTGACTATTGTACCTCTTGCGGCATTTATGAATTGAGCCTCATATCTTGCATGTAAGTCCATATCACATGAATACCACTAGAAAACTAATTTGATATACTTAAAAATACAAGAATACTGTAATATCATGTATTTATTTAAGGAATTAAAATTAATATTTACTCTAATAGTTATTAATAGAATTATTTTATTTTATTTTATGATGAAAATCAATCTAATAGTTGATAGTGCAACGTATCGTGTTTTTCTGACAATCGATTTTTTCAACAAAATGATTCATTAATTTGAAACAAACAAACACAATTCCAGTCGCTTTTTGTACCCAAATACACACACTGCTGCACCTCTCTGGAATATGAATCGTAACAAGTGTTCTTTACTCAATAATTTTTGTAGTTATCTTTTTTTTATAACAATTTTTTTTGTAGTTATCTATAATAATATATTTTAGACATTTTTAAATAAAATAGTGTTCTTTTTATTATGTAGATTGCGTCAATTTACATTGTCCAAACCTTACGTAACAAAAAAGTGATATTTTAAAACAATTAATTTTTTTTTTCCCGATAAGTTTTAAAAAGCTAGAAAATATTTGAGTAAAAAACCGTACCTCTCTTGATAGTTGATAGTGTTCTTTTTCTTATTTTGTCACCCCAAATTTCTGCCACATACTAGATTCCTCCACCACCATCTTTTTTAATTTTCTTTCTTTTGTAAAAGGAAGCAGAAAAAACAATTTCCTTTAAGAAAAGAAAAAAAACTGGACCACTAGTGGTCACTTACTCACTATTGATGCGTTGTGCAACTTCTTATATTTTAATTTAGGACAAAATTTAAATAAAATTCTTAGATGCTTGTGGTGTTATTAAAAAAAAATTCCATGTATAGTATATTATTATTATTTTACTCTTTTTTAAAAGTTTTTACAGTTAAGATATAAGCATAATATATTTTTATTATAAAATTGTACCGTATATAAGCACCCAAAGAATATAGTCTAAATTTTCTTCTTTAATTTATGCAAAAATTTAATTTAATTTAGTCTCTAGAATTCAAGTAAGTGATTTAAGTTTAATCTTCTACTTTTAGTAATTGTAATTTAACCATTCAAATTTGTATTAGTTTATTTTCATCTATCTTTACTAATATTAATAATTAGTATAAATTCATTTTCTTATGTGTGATAAGAAGTTAGTCAGAACTATTGCGACTGCATGGTCTCAACAATTGTCTTCTTGAGAGTTTGAACTTTTGCTCTTTTACTAAAAGTGGTTCTCAATTATCATTACAGTCAACTTTGAATGGTTGAAATGAAATAATTGAAAGTATTAGACTATTTCACTAAATATAAAAATTAAAAGTAGAAAGATGTGGTTAGGCTTTTTTTTTAAGTTAATTTATGGGGTTTGATTTTCTCATGTTGCATGAGAATTCAATTCTCATGTTGTGACTCAACTAGAGGTGGGTCCCACATTTATTAAAAAAAGAAAAAGAAAAAAAAAGCTTTGCACGCAAGTCGAAGGGTCACAACATGAGAATGGAATTCTCATGCAACATGAGAAAATGTTTTTCCTTAATTTATATACCTATTTCAATAATTTGCTTATAGAATTCGATATATTTTCTCTTTTTGCGGGCCTGACACCTTTTGTCCTCCTATATGTATCCCTTTAACATTTTATTGGTCCTATACATATCCAGTTAACAAAAATGCAAAACTTAAAGTATGAGATTTGGGCCTCCCATATCAGATGACCTATGGTTAAAAAATAGCGTAATTTAGAGACACCTAGTAAAAAAATGTGAAAGTATAAACTGAAAGTATGAGATTTGGGCCTCCCATATCAGATGTCCACTCCGCTGGTGACTTTAGAATGTGTATGAAATGGGTCATTGGGTTGTATCCCACATTGAGGAAAACAAAAGGCAAATTTGATTGATGGCAATGACTAAGCAAAAGGTTTAATTGATGCCATGTTTTCCACCTTGGGCGAATGTTGCACTTTTAAATGTCCAGTCCAAATCTTTGGCTTGCATGAGAGTTTGAAGAAATTAGGAAGAGTGTCTAGTTTATTTTCTGTTTCATTTTCAGTTAATATTATCTTCACAAACAATTGTAAGAATATCACTTTATTTTAGTTTTTAATTTTTGAAATGGTTTAAAGATGGTAAAAACAATACCTCAACGATGCATCAAGAAGCTTTTACAAAATTATGTAGTTATGACATTAGCATAATCATTGTTCTTGTGTTTTTTTTCTTGTTCATAATCAACATGAAACCAACTAAGCTGCATACATGCTATTCATACTTCACTACTTTTTCACACACATACCTACCTTGAAAGACACAGACTTCGACTTCGAAGTTCGGAGGAAACATGACCGGCCTTAGCAACAATATGAGAGGGAGAAAATAAATAAGTACAACAGAAGAGTTCTCTTAATGCCTTCTTTTTGTTTAATCTTTCAATAGATAAATAACGGGCAAATACTACAAACTACCTTAAGTTTGGCTAATTAACACATTATCCCATTCTCACCCAAAAATTGCACTCCCCCTACCGAATTAATAGCAGTAACTGTTTTGTGAAAATACTTCATATGAAATATTCTCGCTTAATCAAGGTTTAACGCAGAATATGAAAAAATAAATCAAGAACCATTTGAGGCTTTCTTCAACGGCCTGGGTGTTCAAGAACACAACCAACCGACCAAGGGTTATGCTTCTTTCTAGACTGTGGTTGCAGCTGCCAAATTTTCCATTGCATATCTCTACCAACATTCCCCTGTTTATTACCATGAGAGGTTGCTCAAAACACACCCACTCCAATCCCCTGCTTTTGAGCCTTCCCGGGAACAGAATCATAAAATGCATACAACTCCTCAGCCATAACCACCCAAAGTGCACTAAAACAGACCCACCATACTCACCAGAACAATATCTACATACCATTACCCCAGCAAAGCAAACCTCTGCCTAAATACAAACAAAATCATGAACAAGCTCCAAAAATAGCTAAATCCAAAATAAAAAATAAAAAATGCACAACTCCTTCGTGAGCCCCCATTCATCACCATTCCACCCCAGAACAGCCACCATGAAGCAGCCTCATCCACCTCCACTAACCCAAGTTTTCTGAACCTCCAACACACTCAAACCTCTATTTCCAGGCAACAAACACCATTTGCAACCAAACTCATCATAAGCAAGCACCATCACCTCCACCGCAAGGCCAAACCAACAGATCTCAAAATTCATTGCACCATTACCACCAGCAATCAAAAACCCATCTAGCCCCAATTTCACGAACACACCAGCCTCTTCCTCTAACCATTCTAGCCATGCACAACCATGAGCATCCATTGCCCAACCACCCAAGCCACATCACCCATGGAACAGCATGATCAAACCACCATCAGTCACCTCCAAACCCACATCGTGCCACAGAACCATTGTCCTTATCCATCATCACTGTGCTACCCAGCCATGACACCACCATCACAAGCCAGCCCCAGCATCAAGGAGGTGAATGGGGTTAACAATGGTGTATCAACCAACAACACATTTAATGCCATCCATTCAGCTGGGTGGAATGCAATTTTTGGGTATGAATGGGGTTACGTTTCAATTAACCATACCCCAAGAAGGCTGGTTTGCCATAAATAAATAATAGCACAACTCATTAACCCACTATCTTGTTTAAAGGTTCTGACTCGGCCAAAGGGTCCATCTGTAACTTCCATAAATTATCAAATATGGTTTTAGAAGCTTTTGTTAGTGAGGGGATAATTGGTCCTCACATTAAAGTTCATTATATTCATAAAAAAATGGCAGATAGCCAAAAAAGAAAAAAAGCGGGTGTATAAAATGCAAAGCAGGAAGGAATGAAGGTCATATGGCCCACGTTTTTTTATGATTACTGTAGCAACTCAAGTTTTAGAAAAAAATTAGAACCGGCAGTGCATTCAGGTAAAAAATGACAGACAAGTTGGTGACGCAGCAACTGTAGAACAGATATGAATATACAAAATGTAGCAAAGTTAAGATTGCAAAAAACTCACACTTACTGAGCTGGTTATGTATGACACAACAACTGTTATGTCATCAAGCTTCCCACCATAATAACGGAACCCAGCCTCTTGGGCAGCAGTAGAAAATGGTGTCTGCCTATTCCTGTCCTGTGCTCGCTGACGAGCCAGTGCTGCTATCTTCTGAGCAGTTACTTGGGGTTCTAGTCCAGCTCTAACTGCATGTAAAACAATTGCAGTGACTTCATTATTGTACAGATTATCAAACAATCCATCTGTTCCAGCAATGACAACATCTCCGGGGGCAACAGGTATCGTAAAAACCTGGATATGTTATTGCGACAACTGTTAGTCTGTTTAATTTTCCTCAAATATATAAACTTATTTGGAAAGAAAGAAACTTCATCTGCTATGTGGCTTCCTAGGGAATAATAATAGGATCATGACTGTGGCGAGACTAAAAATGATAATAATAATAATAGTCCATCAGACAATTTCATTGTATTAGATACGTATACATTAAAGTAGAATAGAATAATTGGAGCTGTAAAAATTTTGATCTGCAAATCATCTTACACGTGCTTAATATATGAAAATAAGGATATGTTGAAAATGAGATGCACCTTACTTTCAATTTTCACCCCCTCTACTGCGTATGAATGAGTAAAAAAAAACCTCTCCATTATCACAAAATAGGATGAAAAAGAAATTTCAAATGCCAATCTATTTTCTCTGTTGCTGCATATATTAATCATGAGAAGTTGAAGGAAAGGGCTGTGAACTGTGTGTTTCACCATGCCTGTACTATTATACTGTCAGAAACAGGTAATGCTGGACTGTCTGAATAAGTATTCCTTGGTATGGATGCTATCAGAAACAGGTAAAAATGTACTGTCAACAAATTTGTGCCTTAATTTTGAGATTCCCATATTGTTAATGTAATATTTTCCTCCTTACACCTACAGAAAGTAAAAGCAAAGAGCACTAGAAGTAAGTCTTATGTGAAATGACATGTGAGAACTTACCTCACCAGAGCTGGGTAAATCACCTCCATTGCCACTCTCCAGTTGATACGTAAAATTGAAGTCATGCTGTTGAACAGGGGACCTGAAAATGGTGCATCCATCTCTAACCACAATGAACCCACTGTCACCCAAATTAATAGCTTGTAGTCCCTGGACCAAGAGACCAAACACATGGAATGCAAATTAATGTGAATTTACTTTTCCTTTTATACTCAAGAAAGAAAACTACCCAAATTTACCAGCAGAACTAATTTTACTAGCTGCAGGTCAAAACACCAATCAAACATCAAGTTTAAGAACTTAGGAGCAGGTGACATAAGAATTAGTTATGTGGGTGCAAGTTCTCGTGCCCTCATGGGTCCATGGGCACAGTAGAGAAAAATATCATCAACACAGAGAAAAATATGCTGGCAAAGCTTATCTTAACACACCCTTAATATTTTATTTTATTTTTAAAAAAAAAAGAGCCTAAGAGTACAGACATGATAAAGTATCTAGTTTTATTGTATAATATTTGTTTTTTTTTTTTTTATAGATACCTAACAATACAGACATGATAAAGTATCTAGTTTTATGTCTCGCTAATTAGTTCTAAAGAAAATGGAGAAAAATATTTTGCTTGTAAAAAACCATAGAATGAAAAACATTATACCTTATCCGTAAGGGCAATGATACAAGCTGTTGATGAACCCTTGGCCTTTGCATTTGAGTGAGCCTTCTCTAAGACCCTTGCCGGATTAATAGAACCTTTAGGCTCCTCTGCAATTGCTCTAACTGAATTGGACATAAGTTCTCGGGCAAACAATCCTGCATTAACACCAACATCTGCCCAGCCACCTACACCATCTGCAACACCAATTGCTTGTTCATCTGTGCAAATAAAATGAGCATCCTCTCCACCGGTATCCTCCTTATCTGGATGCGGTAGGTAACATGACCCCGAAAACAGCGTCAAACTCTTTCGACCAACATTGGTTCTGAAAAAAACATTACCAATGATAAGTAAGCAGTAGCTGTGAGAAAGATAAACTAATTTATAAGTATACTCTTCCACCCAGGTCACATGTTCTATTCATGTAGTTAGCCTCTTACAAACACAAGGTAAGGCTACCTAATATATACCCACTCAATGTTACACTCTTCCATTACCATGCTATTCATTTAGCTGGTGAAAAAAGAAACATTGGATTCCATGTGGAAATGATAACATCAAGACTCACTTTTGGGGTTCACTGCAGTATCATCAGCTTCAATTTTAAACAACATACATGTGGTCATCTTCTATGAGCATATAAATTGAATTGTTTTAAAACAAGTGTTTATGCAGAATTAAATAACAAAAAAGAACAACATAAACACATACTGCTGGTCAATTGAAAAGTTTGAACTTGGAAGCTGTTCAACATCACGAGCTGCTTCAGCAGAATAGCAAGCAAAAGAAGAGTTCTTGAGCTGATGAAGCGAACTCAAATTGCTAATCCTCCAACTGGCATCTGACGTGGAACAGATAAAATTCACAACACTAATCAACGGCTGTGATCTTCTGAGATTCACGGTAGCTCTCAAACATCCTTTACGAGTTCGGTCTCTGAAGTAAACGCCAGTTGGCTTGGCGATTACGTCATCTCCCAGCAGCAATGCATTCGAAGCCGAAGCAGCCATTGATTGAAGTTGAATACAAAGATTAGAGACAGAGCTAAATTCCCTCCTTGTTATTGCTTCACGAATCCAAGAGCAAATATGGCACCATTCATGTTTGGGAGAATGCCAGATGGCATCTTACTGAACCCTGATTCCTAAATCGATAAGACAAATTCGGAGGGAGGGTTTGTTTTAGCAATTGAGGTTTCAAATTTGGTAAAAGAGGAATTCAGAATTACCAGATAATGATAGTGACAGCAGAGAACGGAGATTGAGAATCTGAGATCTAAGATAAACCACGGTAGAGGTGGACATATGGGATATAGAAGGAATGGGATTTTTCGGCGCTTCTTCTCAGATTTCCGCAAATACCTAAAATGCGTGGGAGATAGAGTTTCAACTTGTAATCCAAATGCTCAACGAATATACCGGTGAGTATTTATTTTCTTTTCAAAATTAAAATTTCAAATTGTTATGTCTTTTTTTTTTTTTTTTTTCTTGCCTTCGCGAGAATAAATATTTGTAAAAGTTGTTCCTATATTTGTTGATTTTCTTATTGTAACGTCCACTGTCGCTGCGAGGTGCTATAAAAGCGGGCTATTGTGGTCTTCCTACTCTTCTCTACCTACTTCACCAATATTGAAATTTGAAGGCTTTGGTTCTCACCATGTTGTTTTGAAAATTTCTGTTGAAGATATGACTAAGGCTTGGGAAATGTTTTACCAAGGCCCCACGAAAGGTGTTAGATGTTCATGCAAAATTTTCAAACTAAGGCCGGGTGAGTTCTAGACCTAGACATGTTAATGAGAGAAAGAAAGTGAAGATACTTGCCTCGTTCATGTTCTTTAGTTTTCAAGGAAAGTTGGTGATAATTATTATTATTATTTTATTTTTTTTAATGATGAGCTTTATTCCTAAGTAGGATTACAGCCTATTGAAATTGTCTCTAGCATTTTTTATTTGATGTATCTAATATTTATTTCTACTAAGATTAAGTTAAGGGTTTCCCATTTTGAGAAAAAATTTTATGCCTAGATTGACACATTGTGAGAGTACTAGAGGACCGTTTGGATGGATTTTTTTTCTCTAAAAGCTATTTTTTTCTTGAAAAAAATCACTTTTTATTTTTAGTTCATTTAGATGTTTATTTTTTAAAAAATAGAAATCACAAAAAAAGTCAAATACTTACTTTTTTTCTGAAGTTAAAAATTTTAACTTCTAAAAAAATAGAAGTCAAAAGTCAAATTTTTTTTTTCAAAATATAAATATTTTTATAAAAATATAAATATTCTTATAAAAATATAAATAACTTTGATTTTTGTAAAAAATCACTTCAAAAATAAGAAAAAGATAAAAGTTACTTTTTTGAGAAATCAAAACAAACAAGCTCTTTGTTGAATTTAAACCGTTGACCGAGTTATGGTCAAAGGCTACATAAGGCTCTAGCTTGGAGGATCATTGATGAGGTTCTGAGCCAAAAAGTAGAAATATAGCCTTTATCCAAGCTTCCATGGGTGGGAGTTTGATAGGCTTTTTGACCCTTATAACCCTTTATTATTAATTAATTATCGATTTGACCTTGATTATAAACTATTTCAAAAATTTAACCTCCTCAAAAAACATAACACCAATCTGCCCCTGTTTGACCGTTGACCACCAAGCTTACCCGGGTACACCCCTCTCTACCCGGGTATTTTTTGAAAATTTTTATCTACCCGGGTAAGGAGGGGTGTACCCAGGTATTGTTCTTCGTACTGAGAAATTGCTTGAATTATTTACCCGGGTAAGGAAGGGTGTACCCGGGTAATTGGGAGCTCGTGAAGCTTGATGAAGCAGATACCGACAATGCCTTAAGTGTGGTGGATAAGGTTACTTCATCTGGCATAAGACCTTCATCGACCATTAAACTAAACAATTCCACCACATCTTCAATGGCACCACGATGAGACAAAGAGGTCATCAAACAAACCTAAGAGTTCTTCAAGAATCATCATCTCGGTATATTTTTTGCGAGCAAATACCGTGACTGAGTGAAACAATTCTTGAGAGTTTTACGCCATTCCTAAAAAATATTCTAGAGACTTCAAGTTCTTTTGAGTAAACCCACTGGTCTACACATCGTTCTTAATAGCTTTCTTTCCTTGAACAAAATTCGTGAAAGCAATAAAAGGATGCATTGTCTGCTTAGTAGAAGATCAAAGTTCGAGAAGTTGTGGTGAGAATAGAAGAAAAACGAGGGTTTCTTCCTATTTTACCTTGATCTTGGCTAGTGACTTCCATTTTTTGGTGCCTTCTATGGTATACCCTATAACCTCTGTTTTTGTGCTTCGTTCTTCTATCATGGAACTTGGGTGAACATTCTTGAAATATAAGTGGTGTGATAAGTTGATTGTACCCGAGTACACCCCTCCTTACCCGGGTAAAAACTTCAAGCAATTTCTCAGTGCGAAGAACAATACCCGGGTACACCCCTTCCTATCCGGGTATTTTTTGAAAAATTTTGTCTACCCGGGTAGGGAGGGGTGTACCCGGGTAGGCTTGGTGGTCAACGGTCAAACAGGGGCAGATTAGTGTTATGTTTTTTGAGGGAGTTAAATTTTTGAAATAGTTTATAATCAAGGTCAAATCGGTAATTAATTAATAATAAAGGGTTATAAGGGTCAAAAAGCCGAGTTTGATATGTTCTTTTTTTTTTTTTTTTTGATAACAAGATATGTTCCTTTTAAACAACAAAGGATAAGCTTAAAGAATTCAAACGATGGAAGAAATAAGGCTTAATCTGATGTCTTTTACTCCAATAAATAGTCCCCTTAAATAGGAAAATACAACCAAGTTCAGTTCGTGCAGTTAGATAATACAGTTACAAGGAATGAAGAATAAAATAACTAGCCAACTATTCCACTAAGGCTTTGTTTGGAAATTGGTTTTAGCAGGGAAAGGAAAGGAAAATGAGAGTTTTAGAAAGTCCTTCTTTTATTTGTGAGTTTAAAAAATGAGAGGAAGGAATTAGGAATTTTTACTAAACCCTCTGAAACCTTCTTTTTTTCTTAAAAATTAAAGTTTTCCCAAATTGTGGGGTTTGAAGGGAAAAATATTAAAAATTACTTATCTACCCTTAGCATTATATTGTAAAAACTACATAAATGTGAATCATTTTTAAATGTGACATTATTAGAAAAGTCTAAAATACTAATAGAATTTATCGACGAAAAATATTTCGTCAAAAATAGTGATGAAATTTTTTATGAAAATCATATACGTCAAAAAATTCCCATCAAAACTAAAGACGAAATTAGAGACGGAACCAAATTTTGCCATAATCAGTGACATAAATTTTTTACGGAAAAAAATTCAGTCAAAATTATTGATAAAATCAAATTCCGTCAAAACTTTCAACGAAAATATTTTTATCCAAAATTTTGACGAAACACATTTCCATCGAAAAGTTTCGACGTAAAATAATTACGTCAAAATTTTTTACGAAATAAATTTTCAACAAAATATTTCGCAAAAATATCCGACGAAAAATATTTCCTTAAAAATTGTGACTAAAAACATATCTGTAAAATATTTTAAAGGAAATTTTTTTTGTCAAAATTCTTTAAGAAATCTAAATTTCGTCAAAACATTTCCCTTAAAATATTTAACCAAAAAACATATTCATCAAAAATTTTGACGAAAAATATTTTCCTCAAAATTTTCAACAAAACACATTTCCACCTTAAATTCTTTACAGAAAAAAAATGTCGTCAAAATTCTTTACAGAATTAAAATTTTGTAAAAATTTTACGACAGAAATTTCGTTAAACTTTTTGACAAAAAAAATTATTGTCGAAATTTTTAACGAAACTCATTTCCATCAAAAATTTTCGACGAAAAATATTTTCGTCAAGGTTTTTGATAAAACACATTTCCATCAAAATTTTCAACAGAACACATTTCTGTCAAAAAATTTTGACAGAAAATATTTCCGTAAAAAATTTTGTTGAAAATTTATTTCGTAAAAAATTTTGACGGACTAAATATTTTGTCAAAATTTTTTACATAATATAAATTTCGTCAAAAGTTTCGAATGAAACATTTTCCTAAAAAATTTGACAAAACAATTTTCGTCGAAATTTTTATCATAACACATTTCCATCGAAATTTTGAACGGAAAGCATTCTGTCAAAATTTTTAACGGAATTCTTTTTTCGTTTTAAACATTTGATGCAGGAAATCATTTTCGTCAAAACTTCTGACGAAAACTAAATTTTGTCAAAAATTTAGATAGAAAATTTATTTTTGAGAAAATTTTTATCGGAGAAAAATTTTCGTCGCTTTTCTACGAAAAATATTCTGACGAAAAAATAATTTTGTGAAAAAAAATTTGTCGTTTGCAACGTAGAAATTTCGTCGACATATTGAAACTCTTGGGTCTCTCCCAATCCAACACCGCTTCTATTTTACTCGGATCAACAACCACTCCTGCAGACGAAATGACGTGACCCAAAAACTGGATCTCATGCAACCGCTTCTATTTCATTCAAGCCCTTTTTGAATCTATAGGATTTGTCTTCTGGAGTGAGGGGAGCTCTACCATACAAAGAATACTTTGCTAACCTGTTGAACTTGTTCAGATACTCATCCACTATCATGCCTTCTTGTCTGAGGTCTTCAAATTCACTTCTTTTCTTTTCCCTAGCTTTTTCAGGGAAGTATTTCATCAGAAAATGCCTATCAAAAAGTGGCCAAGTAATGGCATACCCTTGGCTCTCAAGTGGGTGCCTGACGGTGTTCCACCAATCTACGGTGTCTCCCTGTAACATATACACGGCATACAGAAGCTTCATGTTGGCCTCACACTCCATAACCTAAAAAATATGCTCCATCTCCTGGAGCCACTCTAGTGCGGCTATGGGGTCTCTCCCACCTTTGTAGTGAGGTGGGGAATGCTTCCTGAAAGCATTCAACATACGCTCTCTGATCTCTCGGTCAAACATAGGCGGTCTTGCTGACCTAGCAATCTCTACCACCGGCTGCCTCATGCGTCCCCCATGGACAGATGCCTCTGCCTCCTGATGGGCCTCTCATGTCCCTTCCTGTCTCAGCACGACAGGGTCAATAATTGATTTATGTCTCCAAAATTTCATACATAAAGTTAATTGGATGGTTTACTTCATAGAGGGGAAAACAAACAGTTTGGTCTGAGCCTGAAGGTGACAAGAAACCATGCAATGATCGGTGTTACCTTCAGGTATTCTTCTAATTCGTCTAATATTTGAATAAAAATTTATATTCTAATGCAGGTGAGAAAATTAAACTTTTACTTGTTTTCAGTACCCAAAGAGTTGAAAATGGATTTTGTCAAATTATTTCTTTTCCTCTGCTTGTATGTTGTAATGAAATAACGAAATAATAAAAATAAATAAGATGATAGAAAAAAATAATGAAATAAATAAATAGAGAAAATA